TTGAATCTGTAGTAGGATAGAGAGACACACACACACACACACACACTCTCTCTCTCTCTCTCTCTCTCTCTCTCTCTCCCTTCCTGTGAGTGTGTGTGTGTGTGTGTAGTTCTTATATTACTACAGTAAATACAAGATAGTATACTGGACTAAACCCGAAATAAGTATAAAAAGTCATCGCTTGATATGACAAATAATGAAAGTAGCAACCACTATGTGCAAGTACTAAGTCCTAAACAACATATCGGAACGAGGGATTTTCCATCTACACCAGATCTGTTAGCAAGCGAGAATGATTAATCTACAAACATCATCTTACATCGGTCAGATCAGTCAAGCCGGAGGTACCATCAAGGTTGACTTCTATCGAGGACTGTGCTGCGTCTCGCTATATAACGTATCAGCAGTCACTCACCCGTCATGAGCTTGATAGTGAGTCAGCTTACCTTTTTGTTTTTTAGCACGTACAACCTATGCAGTATCAGAAGCAGGACGAAATCCAGAGCCAGGCAAATAATCATGGCAATGAACCCGGACCGATAATGTGGTTCCTCTCTTTCAAAGAATAGCTGGGGCCCGATCAGATTACCAACGCAGTACCTATACCATATTAGAAACCAGGATAGTGATGGGGGTTATCCATGACCAAGCATACGCAATGAAGAGAGCGGCTGTGACGACGGTCTTCTTCGTTCGGCCGGCGATATTGGCTTGGATCAGGCCTAAGGAAAGGACATAGGTTGCACTAAACCCAATGGCAAGATAGTATCCGCTAGTTTGCCAGTCAGCAAGAACTCTATACGAGGAAATCTCAAATATCTCATAGGGAAACGTACAGAAGACGACCAATCTTATTTTCCTCGGGAAGAGCGTACATGAGACTCATTCCCAGAATAGCGACGACAAGGCCACCGCACATCAGGATGATTCGGCAGTTTTTAATTGTTCCTGCAAGAAAGCCGGTAATGAGAAGGGCAACGACCTGTGCTCCTCCAAAGGGCATTCCCAGGAGCGTAGTTCCAAGCTTTGAGTAGCCAAACCCCTCGATAATCAGCGGTCCGAATGCACTGATGCCTCCCTGTATAGATAATCAGCTGTGCCTGGACGGCATGTTAATTGAAGGTTTTTAGTATACATTAGGAATATTGTTTGCAATCACAAAAAGTATCAAGATCCACACTTGAGGATCCATAAAAGCCTCGCGTGCTTGATAGAACTTGAACTCCTTGTTGTCCAGACCGGTCTTATTCTCCGATACTCGTTTGATGGCAACATCCTTCTCCGCGGAAGATAGCCACTTCGCTGCGGCAGGGCTTGGAGCAGCAAAGAGGAAGAAGGGCACTGCCCAGACAACTGTGACGGAGCCAAAAATCAGGAATGGGAACTATATGTATTCAAGGCCAGGTTTAGCTATCTGATATGAATGCAGAGACCTCTTGGCTTACCTTATAAACCGGGATGTCGCTCTTGATGTGCCCAATCCCGTACTGGAGGATCATCAGTCAACTATTTATTTTGTACTTGTCTGAGTTTACTGACAGCCACAATGCCCCCAACCACTTGAGCAATCCCGTTCATCGAGAACCAAATGCCGGTCCGAAGAGGTTGCTCGTTCCTATCATGGTCAGTATCCACATATATTCAGTCCAGGATGGGCCACACCTCTTATAGAACATCGATGTCAACTGTACAAAGCAGGGACTAACCCCACTTTCCAAGACACCTAGAAAGAAACGAACAGCCATCAAACCGGAGAAGTTATCTGCAGCTGCCATGCAAAGAAGAACTGCCCCCCAAAGAAACCTAGCATCCTTTAGCTATGCCAGGTATCGAAGCTGCAATCACTCACATCAAAGTCCCACAAGACCTTGTGATATGCACCTTTTGAAAGAGGACATTCATCGGAAATTCACCCACAAGATAACCCAAATAGAATATGGTCGTTAACCCTGTAGACTATGGTTAACCAGTCTTGTCAAAAGAGAACACCCAAGAAACAAGCATACATGAGTACTGGTCGCCCACTAGATGGGCCTCCTGTTTCATTCCCCACAGGGCAGCATATGAAATACATGTCTTATCCACGAATTGGATGAGGTACGTGCCCATAAGCTAAGTGAATCAATATCAGCACGGTCGCATCTGGCATACGTGATCCAATGAGTACCCAGGGAAGAAGAAACCAGTCAATCTTGCGCAGCACAGTTCGGTTCTCTGCTTCAGTGTACGGAGAATTCTCCGCAGTCCCATGCACTACCCTGTGCAATGTCCGGCTGCTGAGAAGCAAGGTCGCATGCTTTAGTGTCAAGCGTGTCTGACTTCTCGGTGTCGATCTGCAACATCGTGTCTCGATTCGTATTCATCCGAAGAAGCACCCTGGAAAGATTTGGTAGACCGTTACAATATTGAGTATTTATATTGCAGCAATGTCATCCGCCGGGGAGATAAGTCTATTCCTAAGGGGTTTTCCATGTTATATACGCAACGACTGCAGTGCGACATGGCCAAGACGACGATAAACGAAAGGATATCATCTGCCCCCGTCACTGGTCAAGACCACCGTACGGTTGGACTGACAGACTCTTGGCTGAAGTTAAAGAGACCAGAAAGAGGAGATGGCGATTATCTTCGTCGGCCGGGCCGATGTATATGTCGGTCGGCCCGCCCGATCCGATCCGTCACTGGTTATCAAAGGTGGAATGATGGGTTCGAACACATATAAAGAGTGATAAATATGTATATCTTTCTTGAAAACCACTCTTTGTTGTTCTCTGAACACCTTCAAAACATTCATCGCAATCATGACAACTAGTTCTATCAACCAACCCTGTAACGAGGGCACTGGCCTTCCAAAGCATGTTATCCAATTGGTCTCAGAGGCTATTGACTCGGCATCGTCAGAGTTGCGTCGGCTAAATTTGGAGGTAAATTCTGCCAATCTCTCATATCTTGTAGGTGGCTAAAATTTGAAGATCTGGAATAATCCCGAGGTGCGGTTCAAAGAAGAGAAAGCATGTCAGTTGCTAGCCGGGTGGTTTGAGAGCCAAGGCTGGACTGTGAAAACTGGAGTATACGGGATCTCCACGGCGTTTGAGGCACGCTTTTCCGTCACAGCTGGGCGGAGATCAGTCTGCTATAACGCTGAATATGGTGAGTCAGTTAACAGTTCATAGGCTCGCTGGGTTCTAACGATGAAGCGTCATTACAGATGCCCTTCCTGAGCTTGGTCACGCCTGCGGCCACAACCTCATTGCCACATCAACTTTGGCCTCAGCCGTCGGGGCTTCTGCCGCTATGAAGGCACTAAAGATACCAGGAACGTTGATCGTGATGGGTACTCCAGCTGAAGAGACTGGCGGGGGTAAATACATCATGGCAAACCATGGCGCGTGGAAGGACTGCAGCGTTGTCCTCATGACACATGCAATGCCGGACTTCTCGACTGCCAGAACTGTGACGAAGGCTTCATGGAAGTTCAGAGCCAAGTTTTACGGAAAGGCGGCACACGCAGCAGCTGCGCCGTGGAATGGAAATAATGCTTGCGATGCTATTGTCATGGCGTATAATGGCCTAGGGCTGCTTCGTCAACAAATCCAGAAGACAGAAAGCATTCAGTCTGTCATCCTGGAAGCTGGAAAAGCACCGAATATCATTCCCGACTACGCCGAAGGTAGCTTTTCTCTGCGTGCGTTTGACTCGAAGGCGTTGGAGCTTCTCCGAAGCCGCGTGATACCCATTTTCGACGGAGCGGCGGCGTCGACGGGCTGTACTGTCGAATTATTTTGGTGCGTCGATATGCATACGATACAGGCTATGTAATGCCTATATACTAATATACACTCAGGGACGCACTGTACGAAGACGTCGTGACCAACATGGCTCTAGCGAACCGCTATACCCACTATATGATCAATGATCTGGGCCTCTCACCCGCTGATATTCTTCCTCCCTCAGATTTATCACCGAAGGTGAACCAGAATGGTAGCTCGTATGTTGCAAGGCGGAACACAACTCGCTCGTCGCAAAAAGGACTAACGATGCAAATCTCTAGCGATTTCGGAAACTGTTCTTATATTCAACCAGGTATTCAGACATTGTTCAGCATCAACGCTACGGATATGCCTCATACTCCTGCCTTCCAGAAGGCAGCAGGTACAGACTTCGCACATACGGAGTCACTTAGAGCCGGAAAGGCCAATGCTCTGATAGGGCTTGAGGTCCTGCTTGACGAGGGGTTCTACAACGAAGTAAAAGGTGATTGGATAAGCGATATGAGGGAGCGAGGCCGTCTTCCCGAGTAGGCATGTTTGAAACTTTAGCTCGCGGTCGTCTGTCTCTTCAGATCTTCAAGATATCGTTCTGGTGTCTAGTTAGCCATGTTTAAATTATACCTAGGATTATAAGACATACTCCCAGCCATCCATCGCGTGCTCATGCATTGGAGCACTCTTTCTAAAGCACCTACTGCTCTCCTGGAATCAAACCTCGGGCTATCCCTTAACACACCCAGCAATACCCGAGCTGCCTTGTAGATACAATGCACTACAAATACGGGCAGCGCCTCTAAGTCAGCCGGTCTGATTTGTGCAGCGAAGCTCTCGGACGCGTTAACAAGTTCCTCAACTACGTTGTGCATGAGTCTGTACGACCCCACGACACAGGACTCTATGCCGGAAGCCTTAAAGCTGCAGCCAAACTCTAGGACAGTCATCAAGGCGCTGGTTTAACTCCATGTCAGTCTCCGCCGGATGCTGTAGGCGATGGGGTTCAACAGTACCTGCGGGATATGGCAACTGCACTGTAGCACAGACTATGTGGGACGGCGTCCTTATCTTGTACAGTTTCTCTGAACGAGCTGAGTGTCTTTAAAATCTGTATTGCCTCATCATTGAAAAATTCCATATGTTGAACCGGGTCGTGGACGTGGGTGAGCACTTGTTCCAGTATACGTGAAGCTTGGGCTAGTTTATTGAAGTGGTACAGAGGCTTCGACGGTGTTAAAGCCAGGTCGAACGAGTCAGAGTCCTATCACAACGTTAGTACTCCGGATTGCACTTCCCAGTCAGAATACTTGCATCGTTTCCGCCGACGGCTCCCGACAGTAGAGCTTTCGGGATAATCGGTCCTTTGTTACTCTCTAAGGAGACATACCTAATCACAGTTCCACGATCCAATCGTTAGCATTCATCTAAGAATAGTAAAGTATATGGAAGAGAGCCGACCGGCAAGCTAAAGTGGAGGTATAGATCCTCGAGTAGTGTTTAACATGAAAAGGAGATGGACGGGACCAACCTATCTGTTATGACAATGCCACGCCATGTGCACCGAGCCTCGTCCGCTTTCTCTGAGGACTTGAACGTTTTTTCTAGCTCGGCTTTCGATGCTTCATTCGCCCCGAGAGCCACTGCTGCCCGAACATTTGCACCTATGGAGATATATGCTGCTGGGTACAAGCCGTGGCCCACTTCGAATATAGTGAGTAGTAGTCTACACTGCAGCAGCTCCAATGAATTGACGTCAATCGCTTCTAATGATGCAATGTACCCCTTCACTAATATGTATAGGGAGCGCATCCGGGGTGTTATCTCATCCTTGACTGGGTTGGCACCCAAAAGAACCATACAAAGCGTGAGCAAGCTGAGATCCGGGCTCGGATGGGTAAAGATGTGGGATAGACACTCGTAAAATGGTGCTTCAGCTAGTATGGGAAACCAAGGATGGATTGTCCGAAAGTATATCGCGGCCACCGCTCGGATCCTACTTTCATCCCCAATGATGGTGAAGACTTGCGTCCTGATAGTGTGAGATATGTTGGCCGACGTAAGCTGGGCGAGATCAGGGACTGGTAGCGAAATCGAGGATACAGCCTCGGGGGAGTCTCCAGATCCAACTATTCCGTTTGGTTCCGTGTAGCAGCAGACACGGTTGAGTCTTATTGGAGTTTGTTAGCACGTATGTACATATGTAAGCGGAACCGGCCCATTTCAGCGAGGTGGACTTACCTTTTGCACAAAGAGCACACTGGAAGCAGCTTGTCGCATCTACGCTTCTGCGTCCTACAGCGTAGACAGACGTGGTTCGCATGGCTGCTCATCGCGTATCGTGACGGTGCGGATGCAGGTGCGGATGAGTAGCGGCTCCGTGGATTTAAGTACCCACTAATCTTGGTCGTCAGCTCATATATGTCTCAAATTGCCTACATTGTCGCCCCACTTGATGACTGCTAAGTGTTATACTCCACGGTGCGTAGGTATCGCATCAATGTGGGTTAATTACAGTTGCTCTCCTTGAAGGCGAATGTTGGGACCCATGGCACTAGTCCCGTTCAGGCTTAGCGGTCCGCACCTGCATCCGCATCCAGTATCGGAATCTTAGGGTTTAAGTGAATTACAATATGTACAGGTCCTTTCTCTACGTATGGAAGAATCTTCGAGTGATGTATAGCGTAAGCAATAGTAATCATCTAATAGTAATAGCTATGGAAGGGCATTATATAAAGCCTGTCGTCCACCACACTGTACACCTTCCAAGAATCACATCTGACAACATCCCTTTGCCTTCCCCGAGTGTACTACATAAGTTATACCCTGATCATCCCCAAGTCAAGCGCTTCGTATTTCTAGTCAGATCTTCCAGCCATGTCTGTGATTCGAAACGTTGCAATTGCCGGTGTAAGTTCCCACCCCTTCGAACCAGGATCACACCTAAGTTCTAACAAGCAAAGGCCTCCGGTGACCTCGGCACCCCAGTCCTAAACGCCCTCATCGAATCCAAGAAGTTCAACATCACCGTTTTGACCCGACACTCCTCCAAAGCACAATTCCCCGCTACTGTCCGGGTGATCCCCGTCGACTACAACTCCCTCCCGGAGCTCACCACCGCACTGAGCGGCCAAGACGCCATCATCTCCACCCTAACAACCGCCGCCATGGACGTCCAGCACACGCTCATTGACGCTGCAATCTCCGCCGGCGTCAAGCGATTCATCCCGTCCGAATTCAGCTCCGATGTTGGTAATCCCAATGCCTCTACACTGCCCGTTTACCAGTCCAAGATCGCCGTCCACAAGGCTCTCCAAGCTCAAGCGGCAGAGAACCCCACGTTCACCTATACATTGATCCGCCACGGACCCTTCCTTGACTGGGGCCTTGCAGCGGGGTTCTTCTTTGATTTCCGGACTGAAACGCCCCCTTTCTATGATGGTGGTGATCGACCATTCAGCACCACTACTCTAGGCACGATCGCCCAGGCGGTCATTGGAGTTCTGACGCATTCCGACGAGACGAAGAATCGACCCGTCTATGTGCATGATCTGGTCACCACGCAGCGCCAGATCTACACTATCGTCCAGAAGCTGGCTCCCGGGCGGAAGTGGAATCCGGTTGATGTTAGTACTGCCGAGCTGGAGGCGAAGGCGCGGGAGGAATGGGCGAAGGGGAACACGGATTTGCGGTCTATTGTCGGTCTTTTGTGTCGGGCGGTGTTTGCGGAGGGATATGGCGGGGAGTTTAAGGAGGTCGATAATGAGCTTCTTGGATTGGGATTGAAGACGGAGGCTGGGCTGGAGGAGGTGGTGAAGGCAGTTTTGGGTGATTTACTGTGATGGAGGTATGGAGGAATCTAGTTTAGTCTGGTTAGGGCAGTGGACGGGGACCTGGTTTGTAGTCACTTTCATGGATGAGCTTTGCAATTTGACTAAGGTTTGATTGAAAAGATGAAGTTTTGAATTGACTGGTTGGTTTTGTATGTGTGTAGCTCCGTACACAGAGTATCTGAGCGCAGTCACCGTGAACTTACAACTGTTCTATGAGGGAAACATCCGACAAGTCCTTTTGTTTTTGAATATCATTTCAGTCTCAAAGTCTTTCGTTAATCAATATACAATATAGAAATAACCCAGCTATATCTTATCATCATCGCGCTCGCTCTAGGCGTAGCTATAAACAGAACAATACTCTATAACATCTAATCGTTCACTAAATTCCGAACGTTCATCTTCACTTTTAATACCGTCTCACTTCACGCATGGAGACTTATATCGAAAAAGTATGGGGAGTCTTGAGAGCAATAGGAGCATCCTCACGCAAGGTCTTGCCGATCAGGTGATCGAAAGAGGGAGAATGGGCGACACGAGGGGTGAAATCCTCGATATCCCAGAGATATCCGAGAGTCTTGAGGACGGAGGTAGCACTATAGGGAGCGGGCTTGCCGGTGACGGGGTCTGTTCCGTACTGCTCGATGTATCCCTTCTTACTGTAAGGGGAGATAACCCAGGTCGGCATGCGGCCACCGAGACGGTCGAAGTTCAGAGTATACTTCTGGCCGTTCTTCGCAGTCTCAGTGTAGGTCAGGTTATCGGGGCGGACGGCGAGCGGGGGAGGGACGTGGTCGTAGAAGCCACCAGTCTCGTCGTAGGTAATGAAGAGTAGGGTCTTGTCCCACTGGGGGCCCTGGCGGATGGCGTCATAGATCTGCTTGACGAAGACCTCACCGTAGGAGACGTTGCCGGTGGGGTGCATGGAGTTCGTGTTGGTACCGCAGCAGGACGGGTTAATGTAAGAGAATTTAGGCAAGACACCAAGGTAGGCGTCTTGGAAAAAGTTTTCGACGGGCACCACGTTGGATCGAGAGGTCTGGTTGACGTAGGTGAAGAAGAGGGAATCCGGTTCGAATGCTCCGTTGGTGCCATCATAGTTGAGCCAGGACACGCCCTTCTCGTTGGCAGCCTCAAAGATGGACTTGGAAGCGATGGCATAGTTCATGAAGTCATCGTCATTCTTGCCATGTCCGGCAGCGGTTCCTGCCAGAGCACACAGGCGGTTGGGGTTGGTGGGCTTTCGAATGGGTTAGTCAATTTCCAAAAAAAAAAAATATACATTTATCACACTTACTCCTGGAACACACGAGAACCAGCTGTTGAAAGTCGTGAACTCATCCACAAGGTCTACGAGCGTAGGAACCTCCTCCTCCGTGTAGTATCCCATCACTTGCCGTGTCGCCTCTTCTGGGGCCAGCTTGGGGTAGTCCTTGAGCTGTGCGGTGAGGAAGCCGGACTGATCGGCAACGACCTTGCCACTAGCAATCGCACCATTGTTTGGGGTATATGTCCCGTAGAACTCCAAGTTATTGCCCGTCACGGAGTGGTCGGGATCATTGAACACGGAATCGTAGTCCTTGGCCTGAGTACAGTACTTTCCGGACGATGGGTCGCTCACATTCTTGTAGTTGCAGAAAGGTCCGTTGTTGATTGGGTTATCGAGCCCTTGGCGGCGAACGCCTCCCAAGATGTTATCGAAGGATCTGAGCCAGATGTTAGTGCTTGTCTTCACATGCAACTAGCTGGAAGCCAGGGAGGTGTTGTTCGTTCAACATATGACCGACACAAGGGCACACAAACCTGTTTTCGAGGATAAGCCAGACAATGTTCTCGACCTTGTCCTTCAGGTTCTCAATGGACTCCTTAGAACCAGGCTTGTAACCAAAAGGAGCCTCTCGCACGCTCGTATACTCGGACGTGACAGGACTAGCAAGACCCAAAGAGGCCAAGAGGCCGAGACCAGTAAGCAGGGCGGCGGACTTCATGATTACACTCCGATTGAGGTCGTAAGCTTGAACACTGCTGCTTGCTCGGGAAATTGAGCCCGTCCAGGGCGAGGCTTATATATCCCACCGGAGGAGCTACCCTTCAATCCCATTCGAATACCACGTGCGCTGTGCGTCGGGTTGAAGCGCATGTCTGTCGAGGCACGTGTGGTTTCGGCTTCATACCGACCAAGGGCAGCCTATCGCCATCCATCCTTAGAAATCGTTCTTCGTGGAGGCCACCGGAGACGGGATGACAGCCCTATCGACAAAGAAAACGATATGAAGTGGAGGCCACATGAGTGGGGTTTTCATTTGACAGCCTTGGTCACGAATAGAGCGTGATGCGAGATAGGAATGGGATTGGACAAGCAATGGCTAAGCTACTAGGGTGGGGAGAAGCACTTAACCAAGACATGGGGCAGCCTACGCTACGGCGAGGAACGTGAGCTTAGCATCCCAGGTCAATCCCTTCCTATCGCTCTCCAAGGGATCATTGCCCTGCAAGGGATTGACTCAACATTCACCTGGTTAGATTGAGTACTCTCAGGCGACAGACAACTCTCCTTGAGTTGAGAAGTTTGCTCAGTGAACAAAGCAGGGTATGTGGAGCAAAAGGGGCAAAAGTAAAATAAAATAAACAGGCAAAAAGGTACGGTGCACAGCGCGTACAGATGATTGCCATTGGCTCAAGAGCCTGCACATCTCGTGCATGCAGAGCGGCATACGACTCGTTATCAGGATATGCATCATCCAGGAACCACGACCGTCCGTCTGCCAGTGAGGTTTAAGAACGACAACACGGGCCGTGGGAAGACGATCGGGTGCCTTTTGGAGTATCCACGCGAGATTTCGTCCTGCTCCACCCGCCCCACAGCGTCTCGAATACCGAGAGACATTCCTATCTGACAAACAAGCGACAGTGAAATGTAATACGCTCGAGACATAAAGACATCCAGAATGTACTCCATACCTCTGCATACATCCGGATCTGTCGGCCTCTGAATGTTTCCCGTCCAATAGCCAGAGTCATGAGTTGACCTCACATTTGCCTGTGGAGATAGAAGAAGCAATCTGACTCCACTATCTGCTAATATTTGAGGTGGATGGAACGGCAGAATTTCTCGCTTCGCTATTCTTACTATAACAGCACACGGGTGTGGACTGGCTTTTCTGATTCGTCTGATACATGATGCTCCCAGGGTACCTGAGTTTGCGCAATGTTGAGGCGCAGTAAGGGACAGTGGAGGTATATATCTGTCGCTTGGACACAAAGTCTGTTAACCCGCTTTGTTAAGGAAAGAAAACAGTGACTGAGACTCCAACAGTCACGGGTCTACAGAGCAATTCTAATCTTTACCTACCAACCTATCTCTCGGCAACCATTCTCCATACAACGACATTGCCCTCAATACCAAGTAGCGATATTCCGGAATAGACTACAACACATCTGCTATATCTGATTGATGGACCGTAATTTAGTCACTCGAACAAATACATATGTACAGATAC